CCCCAGCCAGCCAGCCAGCCAGCCAGCCCTGCCCCGCCCCCCAGCCCCCAGTGGAAGCTCCAAGGCAGGGCGCGCTGAGTTCCTGGCCAAGCTTCAGCCCAGTGAGGGTGTCTGTGCCCCACTCTGACCCTGCAACTGGCAAGCTGAAGCTCAAGTAAGGTTCTCCCTGCTGGTGGGGGAGGGGGTGCAGAAGGAAGAGGGCCAGGACTTGTGGGTTATCTGGGCTCTGCTGGGCCAGGGCCTGGTAGGGGCATGGGTACCGGTGCTACACTGCGTTTCTGCATGCTGCTTTGGGCTGTGCCACACTGGTGCAGCTGGAGTGGCTGGCATGGCTCCTGCCAGACCCCAAGTCCCTGACATGCAGTCAGGTTGGACAGAAGCCATGCCAGCCATACCCACATGGCCTAAAGTGGCATGTGGAACATAGCGTGGCATCAGCCCGGTTATGTGCCGGAGACTTGGGGTGGGGCATGCGGTACAGGGAGAACGGGGGAACTCAGGGCAGCACCGGCTTGGTCAAGTCCAGATAACCTGCAGCTCCCAGCCCCCTACTCCCTGAACCCCTTCCCCTGCTTTGAGTCCCCTGCATTTGGCCAGGCCAGTGCTGCGCTCTATTCCCGGGTGCCCCTTTGGGCCATGTGGGTGCAGTTGGCGTGGCTACTGCCCAACATGGCTAAGTGCTAGGGACTTGGGACAGAGGAGAGGATGCAGGGAGAAGGGAGTGGGGAGCCACGAGTCATCCAGGTTTGGCTGGGCTGGTGCTGTGCTCTGTTCCTTTGTCCCTGTACCCCCCCTCCCCTGAGTCCGCAGCACTTGGGCAGGCTGGGCAGGAGTCACACCAGCTGCATGCACGTGGCATGATCCGGTGTGCAGGAAGACAGCACAATACCAGCAAAGCTGCACGCTGGGGACTCAGGACGGGCGGTGGGGGAAATAAAGCTTAGGTTCCCCTAACTTTTGTTCTCTCTGCCCAGGGGTGGGCAATTGTTTGGGTCAGAGGGGCACTTGAGTTTTGGTGAGCTGTTGTGGGGAAGGGAGGGTGCTGCTGACCCCACTCACATCAGCTCACCCGAACTCCCTAAGTGACCCTCCAACCTAAATAATTGCCCACCCCTAGTAGAGCATGTAGGTGTCCACAGAAAAGCTCAGAGGATCCTACAGTAATTGAACCAATCCACACCCTGCTGCACCGAACCACCCCTGCAACCCTCCTGTACTCACCCACTCACTCACCTCCTGAATCATCCCAATGAATTCAGAGAAAGCCCAGTTAAGCTGGTTAAGGACACTGTTGAGGAAGCTGGGTGCCAAATTACGGTCACTACGCAGTAGATCTGCCATATGCCTCTGCAGTAGGATGGAGGGACATGGTTCTGGAATAAGAAAATAACAGTTTCAAAGTTAGGCCCAGCCCCAGGGCTGGAGAAAAAAATTCAGATTAAGGAAATAAATAGGCCTGAAACCAACACCCTATAACTTGGTAAATACTGTTTTCTCTCTTTAAAGGCACAAGGTTTAAAAGCAAGAAGCCCCCCCACCCACGGCCACTTTACAATAAGCAGAGATGACAGGTGCTCCACAAATCCAGCGCACACAGACTATACTGAGCAGAGATCTTGCCTGCAAGGCAGTCCGCACTTCCCCAGTGCCAACCTGAATTAACCAGGATGTGGTCAAATATTTTCACTGCTCCTCCTAAACCATAGAAATGGGCCCTGCAGCTCAGTGCTGTCCCTTGCACTTATCTACAGAGGGCTCCAGGACAACTTGGTGATAATCAGTTTCAGTACCAGCATCACAAGAGCTGCCCAGTTCTTCATATGTAGAAGACACACCCCTATTCCTTCATATGTAAGGTGACCAAGTTATTTTTAAAGAAATCCATGACACTGTTTCAAGTGAAAATGGAGTGACATGGTGTGTCAGGCAGGCAGGTGGACAGGCACTGCTGCTGCTCACGAGGAGCCAGGCTGGGCACATGGGGGAAGGGAAGGGGAGGGGAGGAGAGGGGAAGAGGGTGCCAAAATCCAAGTTCACCCAGGGCGCCTTTTTCCACCCCCCACAAGTCCAACACTGCTGCCACACACTCATGCACAGTAGAGTAAGTAGAGAAAGAAGGGATCATGTTAGGTGGCTGATTCCTAGACTTTTATTTCAATTTTCACCAACTGGCCAGGATGCTGGGACAGCCTACAAAATCTGGGACTGTCCCAGCCAAACTGGGATATATGGTCACCCTATTCACATGGGCCCGTTTGTCTGTCCAGTTACAGTTGAGAAGATGGTCCTTGAGCTGAGTCAGGCCAAGTCCTCCGTAGGGCTGTACTCAGTCCAGAGGCTACCTAGCTTCCTCCTGGGACCTGACAGCAGCTTTGTATGTCTCGTAGGGGAATTACCAGGTACCCCCATCATCAGTTTCAGCCCTCCTACCATGGACAGACCTAGGGCAAACAGGCTCCTACAGTACCTAGAATTTCCAACACATGGCATATAAACACACCAGAAAGTCTTTTCAATAGTGCCCCTGGGCCAAACAGCTTAGGCGTATGCACCTGGGGTGCAGAAAACCAAAGGCTTTGATTTTATGGAACATGGGGCATTCCAGTGAGAAGAGAAGCTGTATGAAGGGAATGACCCACATGTCATAGGCAGGAGTAAAGTCTTAGTTGGAGACTAGAACCAATAGGGAAATAAATTAACATCACATAGGGAGGGTGTTTAAAGGCAAACAAAGTACAGACTTAAACTCAGCAGGTCACAAACAAATTTAACTGATTTAACAATGTGGAAAAAAGGATCTTCTCAACTGCTTACATTCCAGTGAGAGTCTGGGGAGCAAGCAAAGGGAACCAGAAATTCTTATTAATGAAGACAAACAAAATAATTAGCATTACTGACACCACAAGAATAAAATGCTAAACATCACTGGCTATAATCTGAACAGAAAGACAATATGGGTTAAAGGTGGAGGGGATGACACTGTTAGAGCATAATTACCCATTCTAGAGTTATCAGTAACTGAAATGGATCAACATATTATCTAGATAAGTCCAGGAGGGGAGACTGGTACAACACCAACACTCCACCACCCCCCTCCAAAAATCACAGATGGGGAAAAAGGGGAAGATGACAAACAACAGAAATTCTAAAGAACTGATAAGGAATCTAAAGACATGAGAGAAAAAAACAATAACTGGCAAGGGTAAGGACAATAACGTATTTTAAATACACTTAAGAAGAGACAGGCATACCATTTGAAATAGCTTAAAGTTTAATAGGGTTTGAAATGTTTCCAAAATGTTGTGCAGCAATTCTCAACCAGCACCCTGAGGTTCCATGAGATTCTTTTAAGGGTGCCATGCAATATTAGCATTCTTAGATGTGCAAACACCTACACACGATATATCCATTGTTGTCTGAAAGCCCGCAACCCCTGACAGCCTCTGGTCCATGGCCAACCAGTTCAACACAGGCAAATCTGCAGTGGCACTGGCTCTGAATGAGGCATATCTAGCAATCCAGCATGTGGTGGCACTGTGAATCATCCACCTCACCAACCCATCAGAGATTGTCAGATTCAACTGCATGGGGTTTCCAAACTGTGCTGGGGCCACTGATGGCACATGCATTGCCATCCTGGGCCCAACTTGAAGTATATCAATTGCACTGGCTGCTTCTCTATCATGCTGCAGGGCATCATGAACCACAAATTTGTTCCCCACTTGTACTGTGTTACTTCAGAAAGTGCCCTCCCCGCCAGTCACATGTCTGGGAGGTGGCCCATAACTAATAGATAGGGCCCTGAGAAAATCGTGGATTTCTTGTAGAAAATTCATGGCGTGTGTGCAGGTAAAGTATCCTTTTTCATGGACTATTCACAGAACTACCATTGATCTTGGCAAATGGGTTCAGGTAGTTCTGTGAATAGTCCATGAAAAAGGATACTTTACCCACACACGTGCCACACAGGCAGCAGTCAGGCACATACCATAGGTGGTAGAAGGCTGACACTAATGGGGTTTAGTCCCTGCAAACACCGGGCAGCAGTGGCAGTTCAGAGGGCCACAAGTCATGCAACTGGGATTGCAGCCCAGTGGTATGCAGAGCACTTCCTACCACAGCAGGCAAGTCTGTGAGGGGGAAAGGGTGTGGGGCTGTTGGGGGCGGGAAGCGGATCAAGGCCCCCACAGTGAGGGAGGAAGTGTGGGAGCTTTGGGCTGGGCTGTGGGGTGATTGGAGTCCAGGCAGCTCGTCCAGGGGGTCGGAGCTGCGCAACTCCACGTGCCTTCCATCGCCAGGCAGGCAGGGGACGTGGCACAGCCCAGTGGCAGCAGTCACATGGCATTGCACGGCTTTTGGGACAATGGCAGTGGGACACAGAGCCCAGCCCACTGAGGAAGCCTGTCTCCACCCCATGCCCAAATCCAGGGGGCACATGCCCCCCATGCCTCCCTTGGGGTGTGAGCAGCAGCAGGAGCCCCCCCGTGGCCCTGGATGAGCCGCCTGCACTCCAGCCATCCCACAACCTGGCCTGGGGCCCCATTCACCCCAGCCCCTGCCCCATTCCCTCCCTCACTGAGGACCTCAATCTGCCCCCCCACCCCTTACCCTCCACACTTACCTGCTGGGTGGGAGGGCAGGGCAGGAGTGTGTATACTCAGCCCCGCCCCCACAATACTATTTTCTCCTTATACCTATGGCACACAGAGTCCCCTCTCCCCCGACAGTCCCCAATCCCTAAACACCTTTCCCACCCTGCTCCTTATACTCAGCTGCCTGGCTGCATCCTGGCCATGCCCCCAGCAGCCACTTGCAGGCTCCTAAAGCGCAGGTGTCCTCTTACAGGCTGGACCACTGCCAGTCTGCAAAGGGAAACCTGCGCTTTTGCACGTTTTTTCTGGCACAGGCTTGTGACCCTTAAAAATGGCAGTGTGGGACTAATTTTGCAGTATTCGCGCAATACATGAAATCATGATTTTCTCAGAGGCCTACTCATAGTATGTTGAAACTTTCCAGGGATTGGTAGCACTGAGCACCCTCAGTGCGTCTGTGACCAGGTCTGAGCCACTGGAAGACTGTGCTTGATGTTGGTGGATGTGACTACATGGTGCACAGTGAAATAGAAGGCACACCAATGGTGGGGGCTGTGAGATGGAGGGAGTAGGAAGCTGTTGCTCTGGCATGGTGTGATGTCAAGGGGATAGGCTCCTGGCACAGCTTAGACCACTCAGTGTTGATCTTCATGTCAGTCTCATCATTGCTCCTTCCTGAGTATGCCCTGTTTCCTCACCAGCAAAGTGGGGAGTTTCCTGAAAGCTCCTGCTCCTTCTGTACCAGTTCCTGGACTGTTGTAGGGTCAGGCTACAGCAGGGCCTCCCCTTCCTTTTATTGGCAGGAATTGAAATCTTCAGTGGCTCGTGGCTAGCCAGCAGTGTTGACTGTCAAAGGGGAGTGTATGGAATCATTCTCCTTGAGGATCTTTGACAGCTACTTATAGTACTTGGTCATCACCTGCAGGTTCTGAAAAAACAGTTGACAACTTGGGCCCTGGTGTACCACAAATTCAGGATCTTTGTCTTCACACAGCACTGGTTCCAGTCCTGGTTGCGTGCCTGAGCTACCATTTTGGCAGCATGTATTCAAAAACAGCTTGGTTGCAGTGGTTCATACTGAATTTCCACAGCATTTCCTCATCACCTCAAATGGAGAGTGGGTCCAATACCTCTTCTCAACTTCAGTTAGTGTTGCACTTGGAGGATGTTGGAAGAGGATGGTGTGAACATTGTGGCTGCTGGTGCAGGCCTCAGCTGAGTCACCAGGGAGTGCGACAAAAAAATGCTGGCATGCCTTCACGCAGAGTAATAAGTAGGGAAGGTTACATGCAACTCCTGTGACCTCTAGTCACACGAGTCAGGGACTTGCTGCCTGGCATTTGGGGTGGGGAGGGAAGAGGGGCAGGGAACACTGCATTGTGGGATGCCTGGAAGTCTGCCTGGAAGACTGACACAACTCTTTAGCATGCATATGGAACATTACAAAAAAAAATAAATTAAAAAAAATGGTACCACCTAGTACCTGCTTCCTCCACAGTCATTTTTGGAATGCACTGGCCATTTTTCAGCATGTCTTAATGAGGGGTGTACATGATGCATACACCCCCTTTGAACTATTTTAAAGGTGTATGTAACATTTCAAATGTGACACCTGTCCACAGCCTTAGAAACGAAGAAAATCTTACAGTTAGGCCCATTACTAAAGAGATATGTTAAATTAACAATATAGATGAGGCAGATGTGTTTAACAAAAAAACATGTTCTATATTTGGAAAAAAGGAAAATGATGTACAGTAAAAGCTCTGTTATCTGGCATCCCTTGGGAACGGGGGATGCTGGATAACAAAATATGTTGGTTAATTGAGCTGCCCTGGCCGCTGCTTCATACACCGCGTCTGGGGCTTCCCTCCATCCCTCCCACCACATCACCGCCCCTCCCACAGGGCCCGCAGGAGGGGTGGCGGGATGCCCCAAACGTGGCAGGCAAAGCAGCAGCCTGGGCTGCTCAATTAACTGGTATATTTTGTAATCTGGCATCCCCCATTCCCAGCAACCATGTTGGTGGGAACCTATTACAGTTAAAGCTCTGTTATCTGGCATCCCCCTGGAATGGGGGATGCCAGATAACAAAATATGCCAGTTAACTGAGTGGCCCAGGCTGCCACTTTTCCTGCTACATCTGGGGCATCCCGTCACTCCTCCCGCGGGCCTTGCTATGCCCCCTGGCCATGGAGGCTCAGCAGCACAGGCTACCTTGCCCCAAGAAATGGGGTCTCAGAGAAACTGGAAGTACCACGGTGGGCACTTCCAGTTTCACTTTATCTTACAAGCTGGCATGCCGGTTAGTGGAGCATGCCAACTTGTAAAATGCTGCCAGACTATTTTTCACAAATCTTTGCTCCTAGGAAAGACAGTTGATGCCAATATGCCTGGGACAACCCATAAAGCAAGCAGCAGCATGTGCGGTTTCCCCAGCTGTTCAACTCTTCAATTCCTGTCCCAGGTTACCCCAACACAGGGGTGGAGCCCTAAATGAGTGTTGCAAGAACAAAGAAAGAGGAACTTGTACAATACGACTTCTGTGGGTACTCCTAATTCCTGCAAGGGATACAGTGGACTCAAGCTACTCATCGCACTAAATGCCAGATGGAGCACTGCTTTTCAGAGTGCTCAGAGTGTCCCTTGGGCTGGCTGTCTTTGATTTCCTACTTAATTTTAGGTCCAAGTGTGGAAGAGCAGCAGCAGAAGGGAAGCTTGAGAGATCTGGATACTGAACAATTCCCTCCGTTCCTCTTTCAGACAGAGTAGTAGCAGCAGGCCAAGATGCCCAGCACCTGTCTTCTTGTCCTTGACAATGCTAAAATTGCATCTTTGAAGACGATCACACTGTTGGGGTGAGTGGTGGGGTTTCAGTGGCCTCCCCCTCTGGGAAGGTCTCAAGGACACCTCTGAATAACATGCTCTTTTGCAATTAGATCAGCATTCATTATTGATCAGTTTATCCTTAGAATAGCAGCACCAGGAATGAGGTCCAAGGAGCCTGCCCATCCCCCTGCTGCTCAGACCTTCCAGAGCCAGCCCCAAGAAATGACAGACAGAGTACATCTAGCAACAGAGCAATGTCACCAAGGCCATGGGCAAGGCACCACATGAAGGCATGAGGCAGCTGTCAGGGTGCTCTCTAGCACACAAGACTCATGGGGTTTGCCCCTCCTTTCTGCTGTGTTTCACCCCCTCCCCTCAAGGACAGAATACAACTTCCCTAGTTACTGGGTCAGAAAAGGAGCCTATTATAAGAGGCAAAGAGACGCTCTCATCTGCAGGAGAAGCAAACCCATGGGACCTTGCTCAGGGCACTGATGCAAGATGCTTCGTCTCCCTTGCACCTTTCACAGACTACTGATACAAGTCCAAAACCCTCCCCTAGCCAAGGGTCTCATAGGAATAGGAGTGTATGGGGTGGGAAAGAGGAAATACCTAAATGGCTAACAGCTACTCCACCACCACATAGGAAAAGGGTAAAGAAACAGCAAACTTACTCTGGAAACTAGCAACAGATAGATCTCCTGGGCCCCCACCAGTGAAAGAGAGAGTGAAAGACAATGAGAATGAGAGAGCACTATTAAACAGGGACACAAATGGCTCCCCTATCACTTGGGAACCCAGTGCAGTACAGACATCTGCAGAAGTCTATGCCCAAAGCCAGACTAGCATTTGGTTACATTAGCTCCCACCTCTCCTACACACATTCTCTTCCAAAAGCCATAGAATATCACACTGTCCAGCAGCAGAGGACACAGAGGGAGGGAGTTGTAGGAGAATGCCCAATTTGTTCTTGTTTGTATAGCCTGCTTTTTTCATAGTCCCCTGGGCTTAAACGTGGCATTCTACAGTCCCTATCTCCATGATGAATAGCTAGTTATTTAGGCCTTTCTAAGCTTGGGATTTATTTGGCATTCCCTGGTTTCCACTCCCCACTTGAGAAGCCACTATGTCCTGGGCCCAACTGGCAGGTTGAAGACAGGTGGTACTTGGGAGCAGAAATTTAGATTTGTTCCTTCAGGATTCCAGTGGACTTGCAACCTGCTGGGGGCCCTCTGCTCCCAAACAGGATACAACTAGCAAAGTACAAACTGTGTTCCACCCCGACAACACGGCTGAAGTAGTAAAGAGATTACTGTTAGGGAAAGGGCAAAATCCCTCTCCTCCGCAGTAAATAATGCAAGCTCTGCAGAAGACCATCTCTTCCTCTGCCCCCACTGATAAATGCTTTGAGCTCCCCAGAGAGATCTCTCCTCTCCTTCCCAACGCTGTAAATGCCATAAACTTTCCAAGGAACAGATCTGCCCCATTCTACTCACTCTGCAAGCTAGGGAGGTTGGCATCTTCAGGCTTGGTTTTCAGCAGGTGAGGGAGCCGTGTGTATCTGTACCCAAAGCCACAGCCCTGCAGGAGAAAAAAACCCAAAAACAAGTGGTACCTTTAAGGGCATGAACCCTATAGGCCTCCTTCCAAGATAGAGCTAGAGGCAGGCTTATCTGCAAGAGGCAGTGCTGCCCAGCCAGCAGGTAAGAAGGCTGGAGATCCCTGGTCCAAGGCTTGCCAACAATGACACAAGGAGTGGGATTTGTTACCCGCCAGAGCCGCACAAGAATCCAGTTGGTCTGTGCCCAAGGCCGTTGCTCATATGGGGCCAGCAGGTTTTTCATCATGGATATTCGCCTGCCAGACAGAAGGGACAGTTCAGCAGGTATGACATATCATCGGGGAAATGGAAGAAGAATGGGAAGAGAGACAACAGGGCATGTTTAGCACAACGGAATGAGGAGATATCCCCATTCTCCTTTCACTTGGTTAACAGGACTAAGAACAAAAGAGTAATAGAACCTATAGAACACTTTGGGGAAGGGATAAAGTCAAGCAACTCCGCTCCCAAACCCAACCCTAGTCTGTCTGCCTCAGGTGCCACAACCTCCCACCACTATTCATTCATCAGCCTGCTTCAGCCCAGCCAAGACACTTTCACTTATGTTACCCCTTATACCAGGGGTGTGAAATTATTTTGGATGGAGGGCCATTTATCGAGTTTTGGCAAGCTGTCGAGGGCTGCATGGGTAGCCCTGCCCCTTGACAGGTGACCCACCATCGGTCACCATCTTGGGACCAGAAGTCCCGCCCCCTAACCCCTGACCTTTGCCACCAGAAGTCCCTCCCCTTTCCCCTGGAAGTACTCCTTTCAGCAAGGGGTTTTGCTCTCAGAACCAGAAAAATACCAAATTATATTCTAAAAGGCCAACAACATTCATTAATTTGATTTAAAAAAATATTTTTGTTCTGATTTACATGTGTTTGCATAGTATACATAGAGGTGATTTCACAATAGCTTAAAATGAAGTCATACTCTTGTATATTGGGGGGACTGGGGAGCAAATATAGCTTTGTGGAGGGCTGTGGGGGCTGAATAGGTGTGGGGGGTGTGGGTGCAGGGTGAGGGAGCATGTGGGTGTGCGTCTAGATATGTGGGATTTGCGTGGGTATGGGATTTGTGGAGGGCTGTGTGTGGGGGGCAGGGTGGCTGGGGGTCTGTACATATGGCAGTGCGAGGGGGGTGGGGGCATGCATACGGTGGGGTGTGCGTGTGGGATTCACCCCACACACACACTCTGTCCCTCCTTCCCTCCCTGCCCTCCTTCCCCCCCTACACATACACCCTCCCTCTGCTGGCCCCAAGATACTGGCATTGGTCCTGTGCTCCCCAGTCTGATGATGCAGCCGGGAGTTGCACGGTGCTGGAACAGTGAGTGGGCAGGAAGGCACGGAATGGCTGGGGCTGAGCAGCTGGGTCCTGCTGCCAGGTCCCCCTGGGTCCTACTGCCCCTGACTCCTGTCATCTTTGACAGGCAGCCAGGAGCAGATACATATCAATTTTCTAATTTTTTTTAGGAGCCCTGTGGTACAGATAGAATGGCCTGGCACGCCAAATTCAGCCCTCCCCTACCTTTCTCAGCTCACAGCCCAGGTGCTGTGAGAATTTAAGGGCAGGCCCAGCACTTACTGTTCCTCTGGAATCCTCTCCACAGCCCGCAGCGAGTGGGGGTAGCACACATAACTGGCCAGTGCTTGCATCAATGAGTCTCGGATGTCTGTGGGTAGAAGAGAAAAGAGGATACAACAGCAGAATATGGCACACGTACAGAAGGCCAACTGTAGGTGGTTATCTAACACGGCAGTATCCCATTAGCACTTAAAATCCCAGAGGAGAGAGCAAAGAGTGTTGCAAAAAGTTGGGGGAAGAAGCAACTTGTGGCCAGGAGGTGGACTGAAGCCCAGATAAGCTTGCTACGAGGAAGGACCATGCAACAGTACTGGGCCAGATCTAAAAAGCTTCTCCTACCATTCAGAGAAGGGCTAATAGTTTTGTGGTTTGCTCATTTATTTGTTTGTTTAGTGCAATGACTCCATTTTGTGTACAGAGGACTGGCTAAGGAGCTCCCAAGGGAGCAAAGCCAGCCTGCAAAGCAGCAGCCATATCAACCCACAAACAGCATGTGGACAAAGAGAGGCCCACTGGAACAGACTAGAAACAATGGACAGGAGAATGCAATTGACAAGCCTGCCTTTGTACAAGGAGTGGTCCACATTAGCAATAGGATCAGACATAGTCAGAGAAGGCAGCTAGAGCTACGGGAATTCTGGAATTCTTCCAGAGCTCCTGACCCCAAGATAAGGAATGCTCTGGGCATACTGATAAAAAAAACTCAGGAAGAGAAATGTGTATAAAATTTGTAATTTTTTTTTCTAGAGATGCATCATCTCTCACCCTGTTAAAATAAAAAGATATGGCATATTCAGAAACTCTGTAAAATGTCCATTTGTATGTCTCTGCTTACAGCTATCAGGGTGACTAGGGACCTACCAAAAACCCAATTTCATGAAATCCAGCATTGTGAAAGTGGGCAATACCTGCAAAATCCACAGGACAAAAAAAAAAGAACACTTAGGGAAAATAAAAATGCTGGCTCCCCAGAGGGCAATGTCCTTAGGGCACTGTGGCAGCCCATTGGGTTGGGGGCTGTCTGCTCAAAGGGCTGCCCTCATTGGCTGTGAGGGCTGCCTGTCACATGGCCCCACCCCATTCCAATCAGCAGCGAGGGGCAGGGTTGCAACAGGGACAGGCTCTTGCAGCCTATCAGCAGTAAGGGCAGGGCCATGAGGCCCACTGGACAATCGGGGGGGGGGGGGGGGGGCCCCATTTCCACCGTGAAATGAGG